CTTGCCCTTTTTTTCCCCCTTGGTTTTTCAAGACAGGGTTTCTCTGTGTAGTCCTAGCTGTTCTGGATCTCACGCTGTAGACCAGGCTGGCCTGGAACTCACAGAGATCCGCCTGCCTCGGCCTCCCAAGGGCTGGGATTAAAGCCCTCTCTGAGCTGGGCAGTGGTGGTGCACACCTTTAATCCCAGCACTCGGAAGCAGAAGAATGCAGGTATCTCTGACTTTGAGGCAAGCCTGGTCTACAGGACAGCCAGGGCTACAACAGACAAACCCTGTCTCAAAAAACAAAAGCAAACAAACAAAACTCTTTCCCGGCTTTTCATGGTTATGAAGTCAAGTAAAACCCTTAAAAAGTGGGAGTTTGTGGGCTGTTTTCCCCCCTAGTGTATGTGTATGGTTGGGGTGGGGGTGTTTAGAGGCATAGATGCAGAATGGGGACACATGCAGAAATCAGAGTTTGACAACAGGTGTCTTCCACAGTAGCGCTCCACTTTATATTTGAGACAAGGTCTCCAGCAGAAACTAGAGCTCACTGTTTCAGCTGTCTCTGTACCACCGACCCTCCCAACTCCACGCCCTAGGGTTTCAGAGGCACACCACCACACTGATTTTATAGGAATGCTAGGGATCAGAACTCAATTCTTCATGCCTGTGCAACAAACACTACCACTAAGTCCTCTGCCTGTCCCTAAAATGGATTTTAAAAGGCTCAAGTGACCTAGCAATTTCTTGTACTCCTTTCGCACCCCCTTGATTGTTAACATTTTATGAATACACTAGTCCTACAGGCCCTGGATGAACTAACAAGTTTAATTACACTTTGTCATTCCCTTTGGTTGGTTGGTTGAATTTAAACACCAATTCCTCAGTGAAACTTTCCCAATTGGCCTTTCCCATGCCTGAAATCCAATCACCCTTTGAAGGTCTATCATATCAGTTGTCACAGTGTGATCTGTACACTCTTAACAACATTCAAGACCCTGTAAAGGAGTATGCAATTCAAACTCATCCCGAAGAGTGAAAAGGAAGGTCCCTGCTTTCTTCTCTGCTGATATGCACCTAAGCTGCAGAAAAAAGAGTAAGTCAAACTGTCGGCATGACCTCCAGGGCAGAAAAACCAACACGCATCAGGAGTCCTCCACTGCTACACTGGTTTTGGTTGTTGTCTTTTAAGGCAAATTTCATCAGAATTCTTGACCCTTGTGAATACATCTTAACATTGCATGACAAAACATATTCAAACATGGGGATAAATGCATAAAGCACTTCTGCAGATGAACACTGTATCTCAGGGAAAATACCTATGTATTATGAGCTGAAAGCTGAACTAGACACATTTTTCATGGAATTTTCACTTAAAAAACCAATAGTAGGCATTTGGTAGAATTTTTCTCCAAAATAAACAAAATAAGCTGCCATTTCAAGCAAAACAATTGACATATTTGTTGTACAGAATAAAACTGAAGCTTTCAAGTGAAAATTAAGTCCAATATATTTCAGATGGTGGTATGAACAAACGCAATTTTTAAAACTGTATAACGAAACATCATTTGAAAGATCTGCACTGACCCTCAAGCCACTCTTTTTATTATGTTCTAGTTTAGTGTTAAAGGAAACATTTCCAGTGAATGGGAAAGGTGGTGGATCTGCTCCTCCCTTTGAAACTATGTGCCGGTGTGAGAAGATGGATGAGAACAAACTGAATGCGGAGGCAGACATGAGCACAGAGGTGGCTTCTAGTTAAATGATACATGAAGCCAGCGTCTGACAAGGGAGCACACACTGTAATCCCAGCACTTCAGAGGCCGAGGCAGAAAGACTGCTGTAAACTCAAGGCCAGTCCAGGCTGCAAAGCCAGATTCTTGTCTCAAATATAAAAATGTACAGCAGATTTATATATAATAAACATAAAAATATATTAATACATTTATACATTATAATATATACATGATATAAAATTGTGTGTGTGTGTGTATATATATATATATATATATATATATATATATATATATATATATATGTTTTGTTTTTTGAGACAGCGTCTCTCTATGTAACCCTGGCTTTCCTGAAGCTGACTATATAGACCAGGATGCCCTGGAACTCATAGAGATCCTCTTGCCTCTGCCTTCCCAGTGCTAGGATTAATGGTATGTGCCACCAAGCCTGGCTATAGTTTGTAATTGAAATGTAAAAGTGTAGTAGATTATTATTTTAAGGTGTGTTATTTCTGTTTCTGCTGCATTTGTTTAACTCTGTGAAGCTGTGTTACTGTGCCTGTGTACAACACCTGATGGTCTAATAAAGAGCTGAACGGCCAATAGTGAAGCAGGAGAAAGGATAGGCGGGGCTGGCGGGCAGAAAGAAAATATAGAAGGAGAAATCTGGGAGAAGAGTTGAAAGAGCCAGAGAAGGAGGAGGACTCCAGGATCCAGCCACCCAGCTACACAACCAGCAGAGGAGTAAGGTTTACAGAAGTAAGAGAACAGGAAAAGCCCAGAGGCAAAAGGTAGATGGGGTAAGTTAAGGAAAGCTGGCAAGAAACAAGCCAAACTAAGGCCAGGCATTCATAAGTAATAATAAGCCTCCATGTGTGACTTATTTGGGAGCTCGGTGGAGGGAGCTGGGTGGCGGGCCCCTCAAAAGAGACAAAAAAGAAGAGCAAAAACAACTAATAACATAAAGAGCAATGCCTCTATCCTACTATCCTTCACTATGATATGAGGAAATGTACTTGTTTCATTTAGTTCATGGTATTTGGGGACAATAGTAGAGGGCTTTCTTAGCAAGTATGAGATCCTGGATTTGATTTGCATCATTACACGAAAGTCACTTTCATTAATATCTAATTTTTATTATTTTGATAAATAGTTTTAATTTTTTCTTCTAATTTCTTCTTTAACTTTCTTATGTGTATGATTATTTTGTCTGCGTGTATGTATGTTCACTACCTGCATGCCTGGTGCCCTTGGGGGTCACAAGAGGGCATCTGAGGTCAGGAGGGCACCAAATGCCTTGGGACTGGAGTTACAGTCAGTTGTGAGCTGCCAAGCAGGAACTGAACTCGGGTCCTCCACAAGAGCAGCCAGTGCTCTAACTGCTGAGCCATCTCTCCAACCCTTACAAATATTTCTGTACTTGGAAAGTTTTTTATTTTTCACCATGAAAGTGGTTGACAATTCTTTTTTAAATTAAATAATATTGTAAAGTGTTAACTTTTAATTCTAGCACATTAAGATATTTTTAAGTTTTTTCATGTACTATATTCTGATCATGCTCCTTCCTCTCCCCAATCCCTCCCAGATGCTCCCCACTTCTCTACCCACCCAGCTTTACGTTCTTTCTCTTGAAAAAAGAAAAGAAAGATACCAACAAAACACAGAAATAAAAGCCAAAATAGGCAAAAGACCAATACAATAGTCATGTCCATTATTTTTAATATTTTGTAAATTCATTTGAGAATTTCATTCATTTTGATTATAGTCACATCATCACCATTACTCCCCAATTTGTCCATTCTTTATATAAAAAGGGTCAAACATACACTATCCTGAGGAGCATTATAATATTATAAGCATTTAATGGTTTCTGGGGAAGAGGGAGTCATCATCCTCAGTGATCTGATCACTGTTAAATTACCATGCACCAATTAAGGAAAACTGCACTCACACTCATGCAAGCAGCCCTAGGTAAGCTCAGTCAGTTAATTAAAAGAAGGGGCTTCGTGGGATGGGGTAAGAGTACAAAATAGGGAGTGAATACAAAAGACTTCATCTATATGTGTAATATTACCAAAGAATTAAAAATTAAAGGAAAACACATACAATATATCATCATCCATAAATAATTATGGATTTTAAAAATACTGATATGAAAAATCTTGCTTAATATAGTACATACTTTCTTCTCAATTCTGCACAAGTTTATATCCTCCTTTTAGTCTATAATGTAATACCTTCTAAAATTACAATGCCTCATAGTGTATTCCATCATTTTATTTACTAATGGTCTCACAATGTAGCTCCAGTGGCCCCAAACTTGTTGTCTCTTAGCTCAGCCTCCTCACTGCTGAGATTTCAGGTGTGCATCACCATGTCTGGCAATCATCATTTTTAATATCTATAAAATATTATGCTACTTAAGCTGTCATTTTTATTTAATTCACTATTCAATGTTGGATATTAAAACATAACGCTATTGTCGTAATCTTAATGGACTTAACTTTTTATGTTTTAGGACTCATTAAGACAGAGTCTTAGAACTTACTTGAAATTTAAGCCACCAGTTATCTATTTGATTACTATTCAGCATATATTGATCATTACAATAATCTGATTTCTAAAATGCTAATATACACTCTACTATCAGTTACACTTGTCCTCCTCCTCCTCCTCCCTTTGTCCTGTACTCTCGGCTTTTCCCTCACCCTTTCCTTGCTCCTTTGACTCTAACTTCCCACCAATGTGCTTACGGCCCACTTCGTACATCCCCCAGAATAGACTATACTGAGTTACAGACTCCTAAACCAAACCAACTCTGAGGCATGCTTCTAGCATATAACATCATCAATAAAAATTCTGCCAAACAGAAAAGTTTAGAACAAGGTATTATTTAAAATAACCTTGATTATGGCTGACTCTCAGACAGAGGTCAAATAAAAAAAATCTTCTAGAATCTTTTCAATTTAATGTCTTTTTACTGTTATAAAATTTTTACTTTTAGTAATTACAAAGGAAACTTCATCTTTATTTAAAATGTTCACATCTGGGTTTTTAAATGAACACTAAAACATAAATATTTAACTTGTAGTTTCAGAATGAAACATTTGACAACTAAAGACAAAGTAAAAAGTAAATGCTCGAAAAAAGGTATTAAGATATTTCCTAACCAACACATGGTATGACAGAATTCCCAAAAAGCTCAAAAAGAATGAAATATGACTTCTATGACAAAGCAACCATTATGGCATTCCCAAGCTGTTCCTAATTAACTGCATTACTTACGTAATAGATGGATCCACTTGTTTGTAAGCATGGGCAGCACAAGAGCCACAGTATGTGTATCCTGCATGGCTACAAACAAAACAGTTTTTAATTTAATCTCCACGTTCAAAATCAAGATAGTCTAAAGAAAATAAAAGTTACAGAAAGAAATGTAAAAACTATGATATATGCAACAGAATTGAATATACAGATTAAAAAGCAATATAATTAATGATGCAACTTCTAGACGACAACGGAAAACATGTAGTTGTTTCATACTATATTCCAATTATAAACTTCCAAAAACATTTTAGGTGTCAGTTATGTAGCTGAGTGGTAGAGTACCTGCTTAACATGTTTAACGTCTTGGGTTTAACCTCCAGCACCAATCTGGAGTAGAGGGAAAGGGGACCAAGAGACAGTTTGGTTTTGGGTGAAGATATTCAAGGCTTACTCTGAGCTGCTCATTTCTGATAATCCTCTGTAGTGAAATTAGCAGACTATTATACAACAGCACCAAAGCAAATACCCTGCAGGGATTGTGCTCCCCTCCACCTTTAGCAGTAAAGAAGCTGACTGGGCTTCTCTGTATCATGCCTCTCATGTTCTCTCCATCATCCTTCTCTGTTCACCCTCTGGCTTCAGTATTCAGTCAATTCTCTTATCACCCACAGAACAGCTTTGTTCTCTAATCATTTTTCTCTCCTGAATCATTCCTGCTACATGAGTCTAGACTTACTTCTTTTAGACAGTACAGAAGGGCAAGAGTGACTCTAGCCAGCCGAAGCATGCAAACATGACTCTGGCAGGCCTTGCCCTTCTCCCCTATACCTAAAAAATCTGTTAGATTACATTCCTAAAGCTAGCCACCAAGGTCTACCTTGAGGCTGACTACCAAGGTCCAGCTATCAAAGTATTAAAGTCCAGCAATCAAAAGCCCCCTTTGGCTCACCTACTTAACATGACCAATTAAAATTAAACACCTCATCTTTACACCAGGTTTTCCCTCGTACCTTTATAAACCACCATTTACCTATGGGCCATTGTCTGTTTCCTCTCTTTCCAGAGGCAGCCCTTTGTTTCCCCACTCCCACCTCCCAGGACAAATATCCCTTTCCCCTCTCCCCTATTCCCTTCCCTTTCTCCCTTGTCCTCTGTCACATGTCTGTCTCTTATTCCTTGCCCTTTGTCCCTCCTTTGTGCTGAGAAGTGTCCTGAGCCAATACCAAGCCCCTTTCAGATACATCACTGGTAGACAGTATACAGCCATGGGGTAAATGTTTTAACAACTGACTCTGAAGGAAATAAAAATTACACATTCATCTGTACATAAATTTTTATACAATGCTCCTGAGATTTAACAATTTATGAATAATGATTTAAAATATGCAATACTCTGATAAATTTCATATAGCCTGTTGATTTATGTTCTGTGATATTACTTGCTTAACTCCTATAAACAAGCTATGGCTGCAGTAATAAAGAATAGATGACTGGGTGTGCTGGCACAAGCCATGAGTCCAAGCACTGCAGAGGCAAAGGCAAGCAGATCTGGGTCACCCTGGTTATACAGTGAGTTCCAAGCTAGCCAGGACTACACAGTGAGATCCTGCCTCACACACACACACACACACACACACACACACACACACACACACACACACACACACACAAAGAATGGAACAAACCCAGTAGTTCCACATCTGGTGAAACCAATATATCGCAAGAAATGTCTATTTTCACTGCAGCACTATTCACAAAACCAAAGGAAGTTCTGTAATCAACCTAAGTGTCAATCAACAGATGAATCTATAAAGAAAACGTAGTACACAGATATATAATACCTTAAAGGAAAAAAGTCACAAGGACTAGGGAGATGGCTCAGTGGGTAAAACTGTGTGTCAAACGATAAGGACCTGAATTGAATCCCAATCCCCAGAACCTGTGCAAAGCCAGATACAGTGGCACACATAATCCTGGTAGTCCTCAAGCAAGTTTGGAAGTGGAGACAGAAGAATCCCCAGGAGCTCCAGAACCAGTCACTCAAGTGTAAGCAGCAGCAGCAGAAAAGAGAGAGAGAGAGAGAGAGAGAGAGAGAGAGAGAGAGAGAGAGAGAGACCGAGACCCTGTCTCAAACAAGCAGAGGGCAAAGACCAGCCCCCATCAAACTGGCTAGTAGGCATGTCTATGAGGCAGTTTCTTTGTCAATGTCTGACATGGAAGGGTTCCTAGGTTGTGTAAGAGCGCAAGCTGGTAAGCAGCATTCATGATTTTTACACTTCAGCTCCTGCCTTAAGTTCCTGCCCTGACTCAGTAACGGACTTTGATAATGCAAAACAAAATAAACCTTTTCCTCTCCAAGTTGTTTTTGGCCACTGTTTTATCATAGCAACAAAAAAAGAAAAAAAGAAAAAGAAAAAAAAAACCAGGGTACCATCCCACAACATACATGGGTTTTTCTGAAACCACAGAACTCACAGATTGCAGAAGTATAGTTAAGGGGAAACAATAACAAAAGGGGAGTATGGTACCTATGCCTCAGTCAAAGGACTATGTGATGAATAGCTACAGTTGAATACTTTGTTTCAGCTTCACTCTAGGCTAGATATTAAATGTTACCACTACAGATGTCCAATGTTTCAAGTGATAGATGGACTGACCGGCTTGGTCATCTCAGGTTGCATTCCTAACTGTAACATCATTCTGCATCCCACCCACAAATATGTATCATTTGTCAACTTCAAACTTTAAAGTGCATGGTACAATGAAGACATATGCATGAAGTTCAGTTGTTATGAACAATTGTACTCAGTTTGATGATCAGATAATAGTTTTCCCATACTATATAAAAACTTTGCTGAAGGCTAGAAATGTGGTTAAGAGAGCTTATTCTTCTAGAGGATTGGAATCTGGTTCTCAGCGCCCACATGTTGGCTAACAACTACCACCAGTACCTAGTTACTGGGGGTCCAATACCCTCTTCTGAACTCCGAGAACATGGGTTTGACCCCAGCAACTCATTTTTTAAAAAATGAAAATAAAAAATGTCTACAGGGAGGTATCAATTAATATTGTATAAAGTAAAGATCAAGAGATTAAGAAACTTGCATGCTATAGCTTTTTAAGTGGTAGAGTCTCACATCAAGTCATAAATGGGTATCTTACAAAGTATTTGGCATATAAAATGCTTATCAATATCATCCAAACATTAACCTAGGTTCTTTGTGTGTATGTGGGGGCTGAGTGTATGTATATGCACACGCATGTGGAGACCAAAGGTTGAGTATCTACCTCAATCACTACCAGTTTTTTGTAAGATATTTGTTCATTTTATTTTATGTGTGTGTATGTATATATGCCTACTTGAGTGTGTGCAGATGCTCACAAAGACCATAAAAGGGTGTTGGATCTCCTGGAATTGAAGTCAGAGGCAATTGTAAGCTTCCCAACACAGGTGCTGAGAACCAAACAGAACCTCTGCAAGAAAAGTAAGCAGTCCTAACACAGAACCATCTCTACAGCCCAACATTTGGTTTTTTAACTTTTAGTCCAATATACACTCATTTTTATCAATAATCAAAAGACCTCTAAAACTTACGGTGCAATAATGGCTCTAGCAGGTCTTTTCGTAGACTGTACTTGTGAAAGCCAACCTTCTAGCTGGGCATTCAGCTGAGGTCCTATGAAAAGACAAATGAAAAGGAGAGTCAGCAAAGCAATGTATTACAGATAACCAGCCTTGTTGCGATGTCTTCACTGAACCTCCATAGTATTAAAGTAACTTATTGGGCAACAGAAACATCAGTCTGGATGTTTAAAGTCTCAATTTATCAAGTCATAGGTCCCTACCAAACCATATGACAGGGCTGAATATTGACAGAAGTAAAATTTTATCCACCTACTTCTTAAAAGTATCTTCATATAGATCAACCATTTACAATTTGAGGTGACATTTAAACAAAATACAACAGGAAGTACAATACTCTTAATTAAATGAAGAGTGTAAATAAGTGAATTTGTTTTTTCACAGCACAAACTATGACTTTACTTGATCACTGAAATGACATCCATGTAGTTGAAAACTCCCACACTCAATGATCTACCTCTTCCATTCCACCACCTTGCTCCCCTATCAATAACTAATAACTTCATCACCTCAAAAATTTCAGTTGCCAACAACTCACGCTCTTCACTTCCTATCTTTCCAGGTTACTACTCTAGGGATCCACTGCCTTCAACAGATCAAGACTTTCTCAAGTCTTTCATCCTCTCTTTGTTCACTTCTTGCCTTGTCCAAAGTGAAACAGCCATTATTACCCCTTTAATATGAGAATACGAATATAAATAATATGAATATATCAGTCAAAACATACTTGTTAAAGTCAACTTCCACTTAACACAGTATCTGTACCTGAACTGAGTGAAGCTGGAGAGACAAGTGCTTCCCATACACATGTGGGGACCGAAGCACCAATCCCCGAATCCATTAAGACAGCAGCAGTGGAATGTGCCTGAAATCCCAAAGCTCCCACTGAAAGCTAGGACGTAGAGACAGAAGAATTCTCTCCCTTTTCAACAAACTGCCCTCGCTCCTGTCAAAAGCCACACACACTAAAGCACACTGAACCCCACTATGATTTTCTTACTCAAAAACTCTGCTCCCAATTGTGTCTAATCTCCTGCATCAACCTTGTCCCTTTTGGATTTCACTCTCACCACTTAAATCTAAGCATACCACTGATTAATTTTTTCTTCTAATAAAACCCATTTCTCTGTGCCACTTCTGCAGCAACTATGAATGGATATCCTTATTTCCTTCCCACACCATCTATCCATTCTCTTTCAAGTGGTTTTTTTTTTTTATTTATTTTTTCTTATAGATTCATTTTCTTCTAAGCATGTTTTGTTTGCATGTATGTATGTCTGGGGCCCACAGAAGTGAGAAGAGGGCATGGATCCCCTGGCACTGGAGTTACAGATGGTTATGTGCCACCATGTAGGCGCTGGGAATCAAACCCAGGTGCTCTGCAAGAGCACCAAGTACTCGTAACCTCTGAATAATCTCTCCAGCCTCTTTTTAAACTTTTGAAAAGCCCTGTCTTGCATATGCTAGATCTGTATTCTAGATCACGCAATAGCGACAAAAGAACTGAGTTTTCTTGTCAGACACGTTATTAATACTCAAAGAACAACTTCTGTCTGTCTTTAGAAGACGAATCAACTTCAACACCAATCCTATTACACTGGAGCATGCTACTGGCTTAAAGTACCTTGTTATTTAGATGTTCTAACATTAAAGCTAGTCAATTAACCAAACACACAGAATCCTAATTCTTCTTCCTGAAATCATCCAGAGATGGCCCACACACCAGAATCACCTGACTTGTTCACTTCAAAAAAATCTGTTGGTATTGCCAGAGTTAAGTTGGCATGACCTCTGGGGATGGTGCTAAAAATTTTTAACAAGCTCTCCACGTGACTCTAATCATAGACACTGAAATGTGAAGCATTCTGCCAATAAGGGGCTTATGTACACATGCTATAATGATTTCATTGGCAAACCACATATCTGAATAGTTTATGACTGAAGTTTTTCATTGTAAATCATAAACTAAAAATAAATGAGCACATCAAATTTACCTCCAAACTATGTTGAAGTCTGAAGTGACCTACACATTTCTCAAAATTTACATGTTCACTTTTTCTTTTTCTTTCTTTCTGAGACAGAGTCTCACTATATACCCCTGGCTGGCCTGTTTTTAAAAAATTAAGTAAAATAGTAATAATTAATAATAATAATAGGAAGAGAAGGAGGAGGAAAAAAGAACAACAACAACAGTGGACAATGGAACGTGGTCCAGAAATGGAGTGGCAGAAATTCTCAATGCTTGTGAGAACATGCCAAGAAAACAAGAGTCATGTGACCTCAGTTTCTTCAGAACACAGAATTGTTCTTGGAATATGTTTTCGTGCTCCTCCCAGGGATAGCAGACAGAAGTGAGTTCACTTCACTTACTCAGTATTGCTTGCTGCTGTTATATAATTAAATGTTTAAACTATCCTTTATATGCTTTTATGGAAAAACACTGTCCTTGTGATTATATACAGTTTTAACTCATGAGAACTTCACTCAGGTGTTTTGTTTTGTTTTGTTTTTTTCCTGATGCTCTGAATAAAGTTGGCACTGTGTGAGCCTTTAATCTGCCTCATTTATCAGCTCCATTCTCCCAGGTCCCACAGCATCTAGAACGCTGACAGAATACTAGTTATAAACAATGATGTTGTAGTCATTATCCATGGGAAGTTTGTTCTAAATGAAGACTTTGGGACTGGAGCAATGGCTCAGTGGTTAAGAGCACTGGCTGCTCTTCCGGAAGACCTGGATTTGGTTCCCAACACCTACATGGAAGCTAACAACTGTCTCGTAGTATCAGCCCCGAGGGTCCAACACCTCTTCCAGTTTCCATGGTGCTGCACTCACATAGTGCATAGGCCATAAGCAGATAAAACATCAATACACAGAAAACAAAAAATAAATTTTAAAAAATGAAAGAAAAAATATGGTGCCGGGATGATGGTGGTACAGGACTTGGGAGCCAGAGGCAGGTAGATCTCTGAGTTCAAGGCCAGCTTGGTCTACAAAGCAAGTTCCAAGAAAGCCAGAATTCTTACATAGAGAAACCCTGTCTCAAAAAAACAAAAATTAGGCCGGGCGGTGGTGGCGCACGCCTTTAATCCCAGCACTCGGGAGGCAGAGGCAGGCGGATCTCTGTGAGTTCGAGGCCAGCCTGGGCTACCAAGTGA